ACTGACCCAGTGCATTTCTTCTTTTAAAGAACCTAATTGCTGATTTTACGTCTCCTGTTAGATTTATTTTGTTCTTTCAGTCTAATGATGGCCTCCTTCACTTCCACTGACATGTCTGTGGCCCTCGTGTTTAAAACGACAGTGAAAATCTATTGAATGCAAATTTAAATAATGCAGATTATGCAAATTCAACACTTAGAATCGGTTTCAGATATCACATCTGCATCGTTTGTTGTGAAATAAGGGAACAGGCCTCACCCACCCATGAAACTGCTCATCAGCCAATTTCCCCATTACTTTTTAACCTCTGTAAATGGGGACTTTGTATACAAATGGCTGTAATTCTTAAACTTTATATTGATTTATTGATTATTATATTGATTTTTTTTTTATTTAAAATATACTGTGGTGGCAAAAAAAATTGTCTGTTCAACAAAGTATGGCCCTAACTGAATACAGCGTACATTTTATTTTTGAACTGGAAAAATCAAACCAGTCTGAGAACCAGATCTGAGCACACACGTTTTGTTTTCTTTGGCCCCCATACAGAGCCAGGTAAGTCTCCATATGTGCTTCACATTTGCAAGTAATACCCCCATACTTCACTAAAAACCTTACACCTTAAACTAATGAATTCAAAAAAATCTTATATACACACGCTTCTCATCTGTGAAATTTGAAAACTTTTTTTTTTTTTTTTTTTTTTTTTTTTGGCCTGTCCCGTTTGGCTCTTTTTGCCATCAGAATTGTTGTCTAAAGGCAAAGAAAGATGCCCAACGGATTTACTTTACCAAATTGACCATCCCAGCCTTGCCGTAATGGTCCATTTGATTCACCTTTTATTGTTTATTTTATTTTCACTTGCTGAATACGGGACAGACTTGACTGGGGGAAAGAAGGGGAGAAAGAAAGAGGGAAAGAGAAACAGCTGAGAAGAGGGACGGGGGAGAAGGGCAAAAAACAAAAACCAACAGAATGAGCAGAGAGAAAAAAATGCATAGGCCTATATCAATCACCTGGATCACCTGCTGAGAAAGAAAAAAGAAAACAAGCAGAAGAGAACAAGAGTAATAGAATAAACAACATCACAATGATATATGGGAATATGACAGTAAATACTAAATATTAAACATTATTGTGCAGCACATAAGATCAAAAGAACACAGTGTGCTTTGAGGTAGGAGCCAAAAAGGGTGTAGTTTGTGGGTGTGATCACCCGTGTACCTGTGAGCATGGACGCGCTTGTTTTTTTCAAAAGGTTCCTTCCAGTGGCGTGTCCAGCAGGGTGGCCTGGGGGGGGGGCACAGGCCACCCGCCCGCCCCAACCAGACTGGCCACCCCAGGTGCCACCCCAAAGGCAAAACAATAAAATTCAATCAAATATCCGATTATGTTTTCACGGTGAAGCTCAGATATCCGAGTGTAAGTGAATGCAGCATCGGCTTCTGCGCTTTGTGCATCACGTTAGCAAAGGTAGGAGAGCCAAGCAGAAAGACAGCACTGCAGGAAACAATTTTTCGGTGAAAGAAAATGAGGAGAGAATAAATGTCCCGGTAAGTAATATTAAGTTTGTTGAGTTTAGTAAACTTTGGTGAAATTAGAATACCAAAGAAAAAATAACACTTAAAGAATTATTGCAGCCGTCGAATATATCAGACAGTATGCTACTGAGGGGAGCTAACATAAGAGTTATGAGTTATAAGATATAATCTAAGTCGTAACATTGCTGTATGGAGCTGCAGATTTGGTTGCAGGTTAACATAGCTGGACTGGCCATCGGGCATATGCCCGGTGACTTATTTATTTATTTTTTTGTAATGGCATGAGGTGGTGGATTGGCCAGATGCAGGTCGATGTGTAAAAATAACTCAGTTGTTTGGTGGTGGCTATGGTGGGGCTTCCACAGAGGCCAGCAGGTGGATGAGGGAAGGGGAGGCAGGAGCAGAGACCCGAGGCAGCCGCCAGTCCGAGTGTCAGGTGAACTGAACTTCATGTAAGAAGTTATGACCTGCAGTCTATCTGGGTCAGATATAAACCAAGTTTAGGTGCAGTTTATTTTCGTTGTGCTGACTTTTTACCCTCAGTTGCAATAACTCGTACTGCGTTCTAGCCAGCTTGACAGAGTTTTTATACAGCTGGGTGGGTGCTATGATGTTACTGATCCATCCATTCGCTTCCGCTTATCCTTTTCAGGGTCGCGGGGGGCGCTGGAGCCTGTCATAGGGCGAAAGGCAGGGTACACCCTGGACAGGTCGCCAGTCTGTCACAGAGCCAACACATAGGGACAGACAACCATTCACACTCACATTCACACCTAGTGACAATTTGGATTATTCAATTAACCTATCCCCACAAGTTGCATGTCTTTGGACGGTGGGAGGAAGCCGGAGTACCCGAGAGAACCCACGCAAACACAGGGAGAACATGCAAACTCCACACAGAAAGACCCCGGCCTGATGGTGGAATTGAACTCAGGACCTTCTTGCTGCGCGGCAACAGTGCTAACCACTGTGCCACCGTGCTGATGTTACAGATAGTGAACTTTATTTTATTCATAAGGTTAGTTAGTAGAGTTGCCAACGGCTCCTTAAAAAATGGAATGGTCCCTCATTCAGAGAAAATATTACACGTTTCATATTGAGCTGAGAAGAGACGCAGTTTGTCCCGGACTTTCGCTATAATGAAAAAAAGACACAAAGCTGGAGTTATTCTATCGTTACGCTGCACAGCTGCCTCTTCTCCTCTCATCCTCTCCCCTGCCTCTCCTGTTGCTACTTCAATCATGAAACTGATCAATGATCAGCTGATTGGCTTTTCTGCCACAAGTCCCGGCTCTCTTGTTTGTTTATCGCCCACTTTGCGCCAGAAAGAGGAAACCAGCAGATGTCGCGCTAAACAACAGCAGCACGTTTAAGCTTGATCAGCTGTTGTTAGAATGTATTTAATATTAATTTCTACCATCAGCTGATGTTTGCTGGAGCCACAGCTGTAAAGCTGCTGGTCATGATGTCGGTTTGGATATGTGGTGAGAGGGAAACATGAAGATGAAACCAGGAGATGTCCTTACTGAATCATCAGAGCTGTGATGGAGAAACAGGTTTACCTTTTAGGTGACATGAACGAGTTGAAGGGAAGTTATGAGCTGTTTCTGAGAGACAAATAACACCAGGATCCTTTTTTATGTAGCTGACAGCTGGTAACTGTGCAGGGGCGGGTCTAGCAAAGTTTTACCAGGGGGCCAGGTAGAGCATTAACAGGGAGAGGGGGGCACAAAGAAATACTTTTCTTTCTTACTCTCATTTAAAATATCTAGCTTTTATTAAATAATTATCTAAATCTTACAACCAAAGTTTTTATCTGATGTAAAATGTATAGAAATCATACATATACCAACAAGACTGTACATCACTGTCACAACAGGGTTTGTTTTCATTCAGTCTTTATGGCTTTAATACCTGGTGGGTCGGTCTGTAGTCAAAATGCCCGATTTTCTGTCCCAGTCCAGCCCTGCAGGTTAATACTGGCAGTGTCACCATGCCAGCTGACTGTATTTCATCATCAGCCAGTGTTGTTCTTGATCAATATTACCAAAGTTTACCATAAGGCAGCATAGCAAGTATTTACTTGCTTTCAGGTTTTATTCAAATATTAGTCTTTTCAGTTGTTTCCCCACTTTTTTCCTGTTTCAAAATCACCAGTTTGTGAGAAGATTATCTTCTTTTTTTAATAGGCACAAAGTTTTGCATTGGCATTGGCTAAATTTCAATTGTTTGTTACAAATGTTCGTATTTTAATATTCAAAAATGTTTTTGCCCAAAACATATGTGCACTATATGTCAGTAAAAATACTATGCAAATATTGCTGTCCTTGAATGCTGAGTAAACACTGACAAAGCACTGATTGTATCTCTTGTACTTTATCAACGCAGTATCTAAAAACTTTGCACCGTAGTGGTTAAAATCTCATTCTAATAAGAGTTAAAAGTGCATTCAGTTATTAGGTTTACAGGGTTATTGAATTATGGTTAACGGTTGGTAGAATTTTTTTTTAAACATTATCTGCCAATTACATCTGCCACCCTTCTCCAAATCTGTGCCCCTACCTGGCCCCCCCCAACAAAAATTTTCTAGACACGCCACTGGTTCCTTCATGTAATGATCTGCTAGAGGGTGTGGGGGGGTCACAGCCCCCGTCCTCCAGGGCATGAAGCAGGTATGGAGGAGATCAAAACTCCAGACATCCAGAGGCCCCCAGAACACAGGAGACCAAGGAAGACCAACAGAGGGGCAGCCGCGCCACTGTCCTAGAAAGAACTGAGGAGAGTCCCAGATGAGGGCTCACTCAGCAGCCGCGGAGCAGAAGCCAGGGGGAGTTGCAGTGACGCGCCCGTGAGCTCCGCCGGCAGCCAGCCGTGCCTGAGTGACCGAGCCCCAGGCCGAGAGGCCGGGGGCACCCCACCTCCGAAGTGGCCCGAGCGAGCCCCAGGCTCCAGGCCCCGATAAGCGGCCGCCAAGGAGTTTGAAAATTTGAAAACATTTAAAAGCACAGTAACACCTGAAACCAGATGCAGTACTTTTTTCTCAGTCCACTAGGGTGCAGACATGCGCTGTCAGCTGTGTCCATAAAATCCGCCACTGTCCTCTCAAAAATTACACGGCAACTTGTGACAGAAGTCAAGAAAAACAATACAGGTGCTATGCTGGATTGCTGCCTTGCCCCTGATTTTTTCTGTGCAACTTGGTACAATGCACAATTTAAAAAACAAAAAAAACAAATAAAAAACAACACTTTTCGTTGCAAGCGCCATATAAAAAAAGTCAAAAATGATTTTGTAATCGAAACGGGACTCATTTCATGAAACATTACGATGTTTTATAGATTTGCCACATAAAATCGTTACTATTTTTTTAGGTGCTTACAAGCGCGTCAAAAAATGTCTGTCTTTAATTATTAAAGGATTTTATTTCTTAAGTAAGCGGAAGTACCTCTTGCGCTTGCGCACTAGGCTGCCGAGAAACTGGGAAGTGCTTCCAATCTTTTAAAGTGGCACTTCCTGCGTAAGGATCACAAAATTCAGCCAAAATGATCGGTAAAGTAATCGGTCAGAAATATGTGGCCATTGCCAAGTCATGGTAAGAAGTTTTTACGTCGCGCCTGTGAGAAAAAGCGGAAAGAAATCGGACCTGTGCTTAAAAGAACCTCGATGTGTCCTTAGCTAGCATTAGCCGTTAGCACAACTGAGGTCATAGTCGTAGGGACATACTGACTTTAGACTGTCTGTTGAAGATGTTATGATTTTTATGTATTAAAGCGAGTGTGAGCTATCTTTTCGTTATTAACTCTGCCTGTTCACAGAGGAGATTGGGAATCGCTTTTTTAAATACATCGAGCTAACAAATTAAACCATGTGATCTCGGGCGAAGGTTTTTAATGTTCTTAATAAATCTGCCGCAAAGGCTGCATTAAACTTTATCCCAACTGGATTAAGGTACAGGATCCCCTCTCCTAAACAGATAAAAGTAAAATGCTCTGGCATATTTTACCAAACAGAAGCAGGTGCAACAGATTTATTTGGGGGGGGGTTAGTTACTTACATCATTTTCCAGCATGTTTATAGCTTCAGCAGATAAAAAGGCATCAACCCTTTTGTCTTCTTCTAATAACCGAAACCACTAAAATGAATATTTGGTTTTACCCAATAAAAATGTATTTCTCTCTTCAGTTTCATCAATCGATGCTGAAATTAATAGAAACACAACGGACAAATTTTCACTGTCTTCTCTCCACAGGCTCCCAACTATGGCAGTATGGGGAACAACTGGAGGTGTAGCCCTAGTGTACGTCACAGACTGGCGTTTGGTTTTGGATTATGTCCCCTATATCAACGGCAAATTCAAGAACGATGACTAACATGTGTCAGGTTAGTCCAAAGAATGGCAGCGTGAAACAGTCATTCGGGAGATTATCATGCACCGTTGAATAATAAATAATCATTTAACAAGCAGGAACCACATCCTAAGTTGGACTGACAGTGCTTAACAGAATAACAGGTGGCGTAAAGGTAGATCTAGGCTTGAGACTTCAGTGAGGACCAGGCATCCCCCGAGTCAGTGATGATAGTTCCAAAGACTTTACAAATTGTAGTGAATATATAATTGGTTTGTTAGCGATGACCAGCGGCCCATAAACCAACGGGGAGTCCTTTATGTGAAGTTGACATAGCTGCATGAAAATGAGAACAAACAGCTTATCATGAAGCATATAAAGTGATAGAACATAAAGGGTGTGGGTGTGTGTGGGGGGTTGACCCACTCCTGAAATTCAGAGAAGTTCTGTCTAATTCTGCAACGTAATATGCAGCTTGTTGCAAAAATAACTGATCAGGCTACTCAGTACCAGTTTTACTTTTATGTTGACTTTAAACTTGTTTGAACAGGCAAGAATCACATTTCTCATGTGTGGCATTGTGTAACACTAAATGTTTTCAGCTATCTCTAACAGCACACGTGCGTGATGCTCAAAACAAACACATTCAGAAATATTTTGTTTTTTAATAATTATTCTTAACATCTTTTGGGATAATTCAAACTGCTCAAGTCTAGCTTTGGTTTTCAGTAAATTTTCTTGACATTGTGGATGTCCAGTCTACAGAGGGATGTATGTGACTTTAAAGAAAACAAGTCCCAGTACCACAGTCACGGGTTTGTTGGGGCCAAAAGTCGAGTCTTTCAGCATACTTAGGTCTTCAAGCGAACAATTTTGAGTCAAGTGAAACACAGACTCATTTCTTCCAATGCATACAGACCAATCATGAGTACTCACTCCCCAAAATCAAATTGTGAGCCAAGAAAAACCTACAATATTACATGTTTGTTGGGCATAGATATATGTTTTTCCTGTTTACTGACCCAGCACACAGGCTGTCTATATAATGGTAACAGTCATGCCTCAATCCAGAGGTAAAAGCATCACTGGGTGGAGTATTAGCCCCCCGTTTCCCAAATAGATTCTTTATTAAGTATTGCCTGAACCGCATGACTCAACCGAACAGGATGGGACACTACATTAATATCAAAAACAAACAAGCAGACATACTGTGATTTCCGAAACAAATGTCCGGAGTCGGAGCTGAGATTGAAAAGTCTTCAACTGATGGGAAGGAAACAATGAAGCGGTTTGTCATGATGAGCTCTGTAAGTGCTTGTCGTAATAATGTGAAGATTGAAAATGTGATTACTAAATGTGAGATGTCATCTGACACAAAGCTGCCAGGCGATCTTTTGGTTTCATTTATTTCTCAGTTACAAAGCAGACATTCAGAAAGGCAATGAACAAATTCAGGAGCTCATTATGGTCAGTCACTGGAAAACCCTAGTCATAAAAAGACTTTCTGGTCTGATCAAATTAAAGGGCTTTAGCATGAATTGTGCCCTGGAAAAACAGGGGCACATTTCATCAGCTTGCTAAAAGAAAGTATTGACAATTGTGGCGACATACTCATTGATATATTTTATTTTTCTTTCCAGTTTGTTTTTGTATGTGATTTTTGTTTTTGTCATATTGTATCTTGTTGTCCTTAAAGGTTTGGTTGCTTTAACATAGTAATCTGCAGATGTTTGGGATAAATAAATTAATAACTTAAATGAAACTGGACAGTTCAGAGAGGACACAAGACCAGAATTAAGGAAAGTGGCCTGTTTGAGACTGTATTAGGCAGCTTCTAATGAAAAGACTGTGACCACTGGAAATTTAAAACTCATAGGCATTAACTTTGAATTGGTTCATTCAGTTGATGTTGATTCAATTTTGAATGATGGTTTCAAACGAGAAAAAAATTACAGTTAATAAACAAAAATGCTTTAATATTCCATTAAGTTTTTCTTTTCCGCTTGCCCTCAGCATCCAGCTTTGATAATTTCTTGAACACATTATAACACATGTACCTTCCTCCTCCTCAGGTCAGCGCTGTTTTTTCTTTTTACACAAGGACCTACAGAGAGACCACACACTGCTGCAGCCAGGACCTTCCACTGCATGGCAGGCCACCAGAGACCATCATTCTCACCCTCCAGCTCATTCAGCATTGAACTGTTGACTACCAACGTCCAATGAAATGATCCTTGGGTTTGGCTTTTCAGCGTTCTTCTGCCAGTAAAAATATGAACAGACGAAGAGGAAAACAGTAACGATTTAAACGTGCATTTGGTTTCTTTCCCTGTTCAGATTAAGGACGTGTATTTATTGTAATCATCTGTGGTCTGTGGGTCAAATTTGATTCTTGATTTTTGTGAGAAGTAAAGTATCTGTGATTTCTCCTATATTATGGCTGTTTATGGATTTATTTAATTTGCTTGTGTTCCTGCTGAAGGTAAATGTGCATGAAGCAAATTTAAAAACAGCCTCTCTTACTCATCCTCATAACTGGTCACAATGAAAAGTACTGACAGTTTCACTCTTTTGTTAAAAAGCTATAAAATATCAAGGCACTTAATATTTTTATTAACAGCTGGGTAATTTTTAGAAAGCTTTTTTTTTTAAAACTTTTTCCATCTCCTTTTACAAAACGTGGTGTAGTAGAAAATACTGGTCCTACACATTAATACATTTTCAATTCTATACAAAGTGAATAGAAAATGTATTAATGTGTAGGTAACAGTTTAACAATTAAACAAAATAAATAAAGTCCGTTAAACTTGGATTTTAATCTAGCTGGCCTACCTGTTACAGCATCAAACTAGTGCAATTGCATTATTGTATTGTGTCATTAGACTTTAAATACAGACCGTTTATCCAGAAATATCCAGTTCACAATAACTAAAAACAAATATCATTTTACAATTAAGTAACATATTTTCCCATAAATGCAGTTTTGAGTACAATTATGAACACGATGAAAACGTTACAGTGTCAAAACTCTGTCATAGTTACTTTCCGCCTATGACACAGCCCACGTGAGACCTGCGCGAGCTTTACTTTCGGACTACTTTACAGCGTGTGACGCATAAGTTACTAATACGGCGGAGTGATCTGTACTCGAGATCTGCAAGATCTCGAGCTGAGACGGACAGCTAGCAGACAAAATTCATGCCTGTGGTAATATTAATAAGGTAGTGAAGTTTTTGTCGTTTATTAGCAAAAATTAGGGGCAGAAATATTGAGACAGCCGGGACCATGGAAAGAAAAAGGTAGGACTTTGTCATGTTTAACCGAGTGAGTTATTGTAATAACGAGGAAATGCACGCACGCCTGCATACATCCGTGGGGCACTTTAGAAACGCTCATCAGTAAATGAATCGATCTGGGGAGGTTTAATTAATTTATTTGCAGCATTACTTTTGTAGCTAAAAGTTGGCTTTAAAGCGGGTGGAGTTCGTTTGGTTTAAAATACTGCAGCTTCAAGCAACAATTGACACGCTATTTGCTACGACTTTGACGTCCCGGTGCTGCTAGCTTGATTAGCTAGCTAAGTTTCATTGTTTACACACGCTTGACTTGCAGTGCGCAGGCCCGTCACAGCTACAGCAGCACGAGCGCTCCAAACTTCACGTGGGGCTCACCATGAGTACGCTTCAGACACGCTTCAGTTAGAGACGGTCAAACAAAAACAACCACGTGGATATTATCAGCTACTGCTGGTCAGACCGCTTTTAACCACAGGGTGGGCTACAGAGGTGCCTGAATGACGTCTCTCGACTTGTTGTCAGCACACCTGTTGGGGTCCCGTGCTCGACAAGTTATTTTATAATATTTCTTTGAAAATATCTTTTTATGTCATTGTGTATTTGGAGTTATAGGCTATATGAGTCTACGTTATTGTGCCTACTCAGTGTTTACTTAATTTAAATTGCAACACATCTGTTTTGTTAGATGTGTTGCAATTTCTGATTCCCTTTTGATTCCCTTTTGGCCAGGCCTCTTGAGAAGGTTGTACAAAACCCTTAAGTACTTTCTGGATCAAAATGGCTCGATGTCATTCATGAGAGATTTCATGAGGAATTTAGAACAGTTTAAATATCAGTAGTCAATTTTTGACAGATGGTCACTAATATCTGACAAATCGTTTCACTTTCTTTTAGTGTAAAGGAGTGTAAATGCACATTTAACAAATCATTCATTTGTACTCCGGTCATGATTACACAGTTGTCTTCAGAAAAATAAGTGCAAGTTTAACAGTGCCAATGTAGTAAGTCAAATGAAGCTAAATGCACAGCTGCGTTTATGCCCACCTTCACAATTTTCATGCTAACAAAAAAACAAAACACATCTACTGGGGTGGCCCCAGATACCATTTCGAAGCGTGGCTCTGTCAAAAAGTTTATTCAAAAAAGTAACTGAGAGTGTCTGTGGAGTACTAAACTCTTGGACATCCCAGTTAAAAATAGTGGAATGAACCCAATGACCCGCCTGAGTTAAATGCAATTTTTTGTTCTAACTTTGTTTCTACACAGTGTTCAAATGTGATTATAAAAACAGCTGTGTTGATGCAGAAGAACTGTGTATTCAGACTTTTTTTCCTTTGATCAGGAATCAGTTAGTAATGGGCAAGAGCCTGTTTTTATTCTTGTATATAATGAAGTCTTTATTGTATTATGGATACAGTAGAATTCATTGAGTGTTTTTTATCTGACTTATTAATATTATTTCCTATTTAATTGAGCTGCTTTTGTGGATTTATTTTTTTATTTTTTTACACCGACTTTAATTTTGACACGTTTTATTTATCTAACTATTTTACTTTATTTAAGCTGTTTTGTTATATGTTGGGTTTAATGTTTGGGCTGCTCTCACACAGGACTTTCTGAGCTTGTGGGATAAATATTCAAGTACTTGTTGTTTTATCTTAAAGAATTGTACCTGCTATAAGCAGAACTGATGTATCTGAAATACTGTTGATCCCTGGTGGATGCTTGTTTTGATGGTTTTTCTGTTTTTCTTTCTAGTCTACCTGTTAAGCGTATTCTCAACAAGCCGCAGATATTCCGCGGCAGCCCTCACACTGATGTGAATGCTGGCCACTCCCGGGGCGAACAGTCACTCCTGATCAAGGGGCAGCGCAGCAGGCACAACCATCTCTATGACATCAGCCATCAAATAAGGGTAAGACAGTTTGGTCTCTGGTGTTTATGAGGCTTAAAAATGTATACCTGTAAGTTTAAGTTGTGCTTCTTCATATTTAGTTTAACTGCATACATCTGTCCAAAAAAACAGAACAACAACTAAACCCTTTGATTCTATTTGCATATGCCATATAAAAATGTCATTTTTTGGAAGAAAAAGTTTTCTTAAATGCAAAAATATATAAATAATCTCAAGTACAGTCAAATAAAATAAGATGCGTATGCAGCACATCAGTTTCATGCTGTTGGAATCATGTTAAACTGCATTGTCCCTTTTTAAATAAATAAATAAGAAAAAAATATATTAAGCTAAACTAAATAAAAATTTACTATTACTCTGTCTTCCTTGAAGGCTTTCTGACGTTAATAGGAGGCTGTAAGGCATCAGCAAGTTGTATAGTTTAACCAGTTTGGTATCAGTTCAGCTGCATATTTTAATAAAACTTCTGGAGGCTTACTGCAGATTTTTTGCTGTATATAATAACGGTGGAGGATGGAGCAGCTACAAACTTCGCTTTTCTTCACATCAAGTTTGTTGATCAGGTTCTTTGATGAAGGACTCCCGCTAGCTTTTTCCCACTAAAGGTTTAATGGTGATTACAGGAACAGCGCTCCTCTTTTGAACGCTGGAAACATGTTTTCTTTCAGTCAACCTGAGCTCACCGTCTCCGTAACAGCTTGGCTTCTTCGCTCTCCATGTTGTTTAAACAGACTCCGACTCCTCGTTAAAGTGTGCCAGCATCATCATCACTGCTGCTGTTGTTTTATCAGTGCTTACGTTTAAAAACTGGGGTCGGTGTCTAATGTTGTCAAACTTTTTATTCATACGCTGCTGCTGAGTACGTTTCTATTGCAGGACTGTTTAGTCGCAAATGTGGGTGAAACGCTCATGTTTCCATAGTGACATAGTCATGCATTAAAAGAAGTAACAAATTTGTGTTGAGAATTTTTTATAATCAAAGCTAGAATTTTTATTCTTTGTGGCTAAAATAAGAGTAATTTCAGTCCTGAATTATTAGCTCCAAGTCTGATTTTTGCCACTTCATTTGAGTGTTTGTCATAAACATCATAACCAAAAGCACAGCTCATCAGGCTGTACACTGATCACACTGTCTGCCTGAGGCCTTTTAGCAAACTGTGGTTAAAATTTCATGACCGTCACAGGAACCTCTCTGTCATGAAGCCATCACAGATGAATTGCAGTAAAAACAGACTTGAGTCTGACGTGCTCACTTGTTCGCTTTAACCTACGTAAGGAAGTTTTTCTCTCGTGAATTCCTAACCTGAAATATCCAATTTGCACATGATTTTTGGATGGTAGATTATTACCTCTTGACATTTGAAACCTGTCGTTATTTCATAGTTGCTATAGAGTGCATTGTGTCCTTCACCAGTAAACCTCCCCCAGAGATGAGGTTTTATGATTGACCGTTGACTGTACAAGTGGTAAATGTTGTAAAATTAACATCATTACAGCCTTTTATGTCTGCTGTTAAGCTGAAGGATAGGTGTTTTCCTTGTAGCTATTTACTGCATTTTTGTTTTCATGCCACATTGTGTCATAGTAGTCATTCCATTGCCTTGTAATGTTTTTATAGCCTCTTCACAATTAAATACGGGATGCAGCAGCCACTGCTATACAAGACTGACAGCAGTAAAAATAAAGCAGTAGGATAACTGTTGGCTTTAAAAGTGGCTCTTTTTAAGTGTCATTAAAAAACAAATCTGTTCATATAGTAGAAAACTAACTTACAGTTCTCTCTTAAAGGCTAAGCCTGATTTAAACACAACGCTGCCAGTTCGACAGACAGCTTCCATCTTCAAACAGCCAGTGACCAAAGTAACAAATCACCCCAACAACAAGGTGAAGACGGACCCCCAGAAGGCTGTGGAACAACCAAAACAAGTAAGTCAGAAGCAGAAAAGGTGTGTCAAGTGTTTGTTTGTTTTCTAATGGTAATTTAATTTTTTGTGTGTGTGAGTGAGTGAGTGACTGACTGACTGACTGACTGAGATGTTCAGTTTTGGAAACACTGTGCCTAAAATACACAAAAGGTATCTTCCTTTTTGCTTCACTCTTTAGCTGTTCTGGGAGAGGAAGTTGAGCGGATTAAATGCATTCGATATAGCAGAAGAGCTGGTCAAAACGATGGATCTCCCCAAAGGCTTGCAGGGTGAGGTTAACCTTTAAAACTTATCCGTCACATATAATTCAAACAGAAATAATTCTACCAGGTTGACCCATACCACCTGATTTTCTCTTCTTAGGGGTGGGGCCTGCATGTTCAGACAAAACGCTGCTCTCTGCGATCGCCAGCGCCCTGCACACCAGCCCGGCGCCCATCACGGGACAGCTCACTGCTGCGGTGGAGAAAAATCCAGGAGTCTGGCTCAACACTGCGCAGCCTCTCTGCAAAGCCTTTGTAGTGACTGATGATGATATTAGGTGAGATACTTTCATATTTAACACAAAGGAGCTCTGATTTTCTAACTGTAATACTAAGTGATATTATTCATGCATAGGAAACTGATGAAGGCTTGAGTCTGCTGCTGGTGGCTTCTTCTGTGAAGGGTGTCAAATGTAAATCAAGTGCACTCTAAAAGTGCATTTCAACATGTTCCACCACTACCAAGCAGTGAGGTGGTGTTTCTTTTTTCTTGTTGGGCACATGCTGCTGTTTTCAACAATCAATGGCTTGACTGTCAGTGACTGTTTTCTGTTCTCATGTAGCGTACGCCACCACAGTGACAGGTTCTCACAAAACTCTACATGATGAGCTTCAGTTTTGGAATCATTTGGATTTTTCTTTTAAAGGAAAAACTCCTAATGCTAAGGCTCCGGTTGCCCAGGTAACCCTCTAATGTTGGGGTTGCTGAGGCATTCTGTTTAGGGTAAAATCATGTAATCAATTTATTCTTGGAGCGGTCTAGAAACCAAAACTGACCACCATGTATTGACAAATGCACAGTACTCTTCACACTCATAGGTTGTTGCATCCATCACTCACCTCGAAATTTAGAGAAGTTTATCCTGCAACCCGCCCAGTTTGCGTCACTACAGGGGGTTTCTTTTGTTTGTCATCTTTTTTGACTACTGCTTGTAGTTGTTTGCTGAATGTCCCAGACTTTCTGTGGTCGTTACAAATCACTTCCTGTGTGGAGATGGCTTTAAGGTGTATATTGTCAAAAGGCAAAGGCTTGTGACCAGTTTAAAGTAAGAAATAAAATGAAAAAGGGCCTTAAAGCCTCAGACAACATTATCATTATTATTATTTAATCAGGAAGTGAAACTTCAGATTAAGAATCTCTTGTTTCTGTGAAGAACGCATCATTAACCCGGGGAGCTGAGCTCTTGGAGGGAAAAACTCCATACAAGGGGCCCTTGCTGGGTTCACACACTGGACTCCAATAGTAAAACCATTAAATAGGCTTTAAAATTGCATAGTAATGTCACTGAGGACATCAATATCTTGTCTGAAAAAGCTTTGTCAGAGCTGTCAACGGACAAATGCAACTGGTCTTGGTATTCACATTTAGTATAAGCTGGTAGCCGGTCACTTGACCTGTGAGCGCAGACGTTTTCTATTCCAGTGACACAAGAATACAGCTTTAAATTCAGGCTCAACATATAGTGAATCAGCACTTTGTACCTATTTACTGAAGCTCCAGCTAGTATGCTATAGCTGATGATAAAAAACTTGTGCACTGCCAAAACCAGCGCACTTTATTTTTATTGCAGGAAAGTAGATGTTTGACTCTCGGAGCGTTCTGAACCAAGGACATTTCATACTGAGAAACAAGTGTTACACACTGAAAACTTGGGACAGTTGTATCACAAGTCACCATTATTATTTTGCTATTTGACCTTCAGTTCAGGCACATTATTATATAAATGTTAGAAAAACAAACTAAATTCACTGTGTTCAAAAGTTCAATCTTGAGATTTACTTTGTGTTCTGCTTCTCTTTTATGGCTTTGTAATGAGTCATACTTTGCATTTATACTCTTATACCAAATTGAACTATGGTGTCTTTTTATGGGTCACTGGTGAGAACAGCAAATCAGCCTCAGTCCATTTAGCGAAAAGCAAGATAAAATGCAGATATGTGGTTTTTCTTTTTCTTTTTTTTTCTTTTTTTTTGGAAACGTGACCACTAACCATGTGACGTTAACTTATCTATCATTTTGGAAGTGTGACAATCATGGTCACAATGTATGATCAAGTGACTAAGGACCCAGTCACACAGGCCTTGAGACCAGTCTGTGACCACCTGGCAACCACTTGTCACTAGGAGAAAATGTGTGTTACTCAGCCAGCAGGCAGAAAGCTCCCTGTCCTTGGTCTCGAGTGATGTGTGTATGACCTCAGGTGAGAAACAAGAATAGAGAACAGGGCTATTTCTTTGTATATTTAATGGGAACCTGTTATTCTGACTTTTATTCTTGGACTCTGCTAAAATAGATTTGCATAACTTGAGTGCATGAGTCAGCTGTTTTACCTCTTCTTCCCTGAAGGCCATCCTCACTTTATGCCACCTGTCTGCTGATTGGCTGCCCCTCAATCGCATACGGTTTGAAGAGCACGGCTCTGAAGCTGCTGTGTTCAGACATAAATGTGTTTCTGAGATCGTATCAAAGATTTGCCCTGTTATTGAGTGTGCATACATACATACATACAATCCTCCTTCACCAGTGACATTAATTTCCCAAAACATGTTAGCATTTTTAGTTATTGTAATGATGTGCAAAGTTTTCTAGACTGAAGTGCTCATATTAAAATTTAGAGCACACGTTTCCATGTATAAGTCATAAAAACAGACTCAATCTCCACAGAGGAGATGCACATTTCTTCTGTGTTCATGTGTTGGATGTATCATCTACAGTTATCAAGCTTCATGTCTCTGGGAATTGAATGTATTTATTTTTTTATTGCTTATTTTGGGTCTGAAAATGAAATGATTTTCTGGAGTGAGCAAAAATAAATAAATAAAAATCAGCCTCCCTCTAAGGTCACGTGGTGGGCTGAGGTGTAGTGTGCGGCTCTTTGGTGGACATCAAATGATTTGCACTTTTCCTTCCCTGAAACTTTTTTCAAGTCGTGAAAGACGTTATGTCATTAATGTAATTATGTGTTCTTGTCTGTGCCCCTCAGGAAGCAGGAGGACCTGGTGCAGAATGTGAGGAGGCGGCTCGAAGAAGCCCTTATGGCTGATATGCTGGCTCATATAAAAGACACCGCTGCAGATGTAGAAGCAGAGGTGAAGGGTGAGCAGGTGGAGAAGGAGGAGTTATAGCCAAGGTACACAGAAAGGCAGTAATCACTACAGTATGGCTGAATTTCTCATGGTTAATTGCATTTAATATGACCTACAGTATATTCCTAAACAAGTAACTCTCCTCTATCTCTCCCACAGACTTGTTTGAGACATTTGCTGGTAAAGTCTTTTCAATGCTCGAATTAACGGCTCCATGAAGGTTTGTATGCAGTTAAACTGAAGCAGACTTTATATGCAGACATTCTGCAGATTTTTTTTCCTAACCTAAACAAAGACTGTGGTCTTTAATTTTTTTGTTTTTTAAACATATGACCTTATAATCCTGTAAGGGTGCTCTGAGTTTTCATTTTTACCTCTACTAAAGTCCGGCAGCTGGTTATGGTGCTCTACACAATGCAGTGTTATGTTTAGTTAACAGCTGTTTAAGCTCAGTGTTGAAAACGCAAACCTTTATGTACACGACTGATCTGTGTGTGTGTTACATTTTAATTGGTTTTAAGAAGTGTTTTTATTTCCTGCTATTGCTTTTTATGTTTTACTGACACTGTAAGTTAGCATGTCATGTTTGAAAGCATAGAAATGCAGCAGTATTTTTACATGCCTCTGGATGGTGATGATTACAGTTTCACGGTTCAAACTTCTTTTTTTTTTTGGTCACAATAATTTGAGTTTACATAGCTTTGAACATGAAGCCATGGTATTTGTATTTTCACTATTCTTTGAACAACTACTATTGCATTTCAGTAAAAGGTGCGTTCCCTCGGATCATACAAACACACTGCTGATGTACTGTTTTCTGTCAAATAAAGGCATTTTTCTTATGTGTCCTTTTGTATGTTTGTTTGTAATTAGTGTCTGTTAAAGTGATACCTACAAAAAACGAACTTTAATGTCCCCACAGGACAAATTTTATTAAACCGTATCCATCCAGGTCATAGGAGAGCAGTGTAAGCAAAGACACCCACACCACCCATCCCCAGCCACCTCCTCCAGCTCTTCAGAGGGGATAGCAAGCCATCCAGGGGATACAATCCCTCTAGCATATATCCTTCTCCCACCTCACCTAGGAGGCATGCTGGTCAAATGCTAACCACCTCAGCTGGCTCTACTCTGAGTCCTTCCTGTATAACCTTTCAGATAGACCATGAACCAAAAGACAGCCTAACATTCGGAAATAGTTTCTTTATATCGATGAAGAAAGGGAGGGGGGTAATAAATTAGTATATTCCTTTTGTCTGTGTTGGCAGTGGAGGGATCTCTACACCCATGTAACCCTTCATTCTTAAATAAGATAAATCAGTCAGCATTAGTAATAAATTTCATCTTTGTGCCTCTGACTAAAGGTATACAAGGAAGCATGCCGATGTGGGGTTTTTTTTAAACATGTATGCGCTTATATAAAAATAACTTCAATCGAAACCCCTAGAACAACCCTGTGGCGCGTTTATGAGTTTGGTTATTTTTTTAAACAAATATCTTAGAAAGTAACTACTAGTGCATGAGCATCGCTCAGTGATGCTGTTGGACCACCCCAAACACCTCATTGGTAGCCATGATGAACACACCCAACCGTGGTCACATTTTTCTAAACGTATATCAGTGCCTTAATAGTTACGCTACAAAAACCTCCACGGAAGAGGAGAGTGAAATAGTGCTCTGACAGACCCGGCGGGGGTGACAGTAGCCCAGACTGCTGTGCGTTGATGCTCTCCCCTTGCTTCATGTGGCCTTTGAACTCATTGTTGTGTCGCGGGTGACGTCAGTGCCGTGTGCGGGAGACGGAGCGGCGTGCGCCTGGCGAGACAAAGGCGGCGGACCGACCGGGGTCAGGCAGGCAAGAGCAGCAACAGAAAGCCGAGAATCACTGTTTTTTTTTTTTTTAACTAAAAGATAACCGCTAACCTTGGACTTCAGTTGAGCTCTCCCTGACGCTGGGAGAAATGAAGAGGCAGTGACACTCCTGTGGAAATCTCCTGGAGGAGGAAAAACAACAGTGCCCTCTTTTCGGTTTTAAACGTTTTTTTCTTCTTCTCCTCAAACGCCCCCCTTTCGGTTTGCTAGTTAGCCGAACCGCTAGCTCCTAGCGCTGCACAGCACAGGTCTCCTCCTTCAGTCTGCTCCACGTCTTTCCCTAAAGAACTGGGCTACGAGTGAAGAGAGGACTTCATCGACAAAACGTAGATAAGGTAAGTTCTCGTGGTTTCCGCACGTATTTAATTTTAAAAAATAACACGGCAGTCTGTGAATGTGAACACAAGTTCGACTGTCAGAACAGAGCTAAAGCAGCTAACCGCGGCGCTCTCAAACAAAGAGGTCGACAACGTGACTGAGTGCCGACTGTGTGGAGCTAGCCTGCTAGCTTTTGATTCTTGGAGCTAACAACAGCTCATTTATCTGTTTATTGTTTTTAAATTTACGTTTAAATTCGGACAGCACACACCGGACCGGCTGGAGTCGGCACCGAAAAGGCTCGGGAATATACTGTGTGTGGTTGTGAGGACGGGCAAAACAGTCAACCTCCTGGATGAGCTCAGTTGTCAGACAAACAGCAACAACAGACAAAGCAAAGGCGCTCAAATCAATACTGTTAATGCGCGTTGTTATTGTTGGGTGATCTGAGGCTCCACGGTGCTCTGTTACACTCGTATTTTGTGTGTTTTAATAGAAGACACGGAAAAACCTTTTATTTTTATTGTTGTTTTCTTTGAATTTCAGTAGAGGGTGAGCGGACTCCCAACAAAACAGGCATCCGTGATCTGATGTGAGATCCACGGAGAGACTATGCCTAGCCCTTTATTTCACCCCGAGATTATGGACCACGACGTGGTGATCAGCAGCCAACACAACGGGGTCGGTCTGTCCAGGGAGACGGATCAGGAGTCCCGGGAGGAGGACCACCAAGAGGCGCTCCGCTTCGCCCTGGACCAGCTGTCACTGATGGCCATGGAGAAGGTGGACTGTGGGGGCGGCGGAAGCAGCGGGCTTGTGGACAGCCTGGATGGGACCCAGGGTCCGGGACCCGAGAATTGCAACGGTGTGAGTGGAGGGGGGTTCGTGGATCTACAAATGCTGGACCATCCCAGCGGGTCTCGGGACTCTCCGACGTCCTGCTCTCCATCCCCGGAGTACTATGGCTCAGGGGGGTACCACATGGCCGGCTCCCATGCCATGCTCCACGGGGAACCAAACTCCGTCCTCTGCAGCAGGAAAAGAAGTGTCAACATGACCGAGTGTGTTCCCGTCCCCAGCTCCGAGCATGTGGCTGAGATAGTGGGCAGACAAGGTAAGGCTGTGCCGTTGAGCAGCTTGTTCTTTGTTTGGGTGACTGCCTGGTGAGCTGGGTCTGTGAACTTCAGCTGTCTGAGCTTGATGTTGTGGTCGGGCTGCACTTCCCTCTCCTGCTCTTCAGTGGCAGCATAATGCGGATACTCCACTGAAATGAAATGCCGCTGTAGTATTTGTGATTTTTGTTTGTTTTGTTTTTTTAAATCAGCAATTAGACAATGCTCTGACAGAGGGTGAGGGAGTGAGCGTGGCTGAGTGGGAAGGGAGGGGGAGGGGAGGGAGAGGGTCAGACAAAGCGGCAGATTGTCGGGAGTCTGGACATGTCTAGCAGCCTGCACCAAACAAAGGAAATATCGTGAAATGTGTAGATTTTCTTCGTACCGCAGATCACAGGCGGCACTGAACTCACACCTTCACCTCATACATGCGTTTGTTATATTTGCTCCTCAGAGCAGATGTGAGGCTGAAACGGGGCAGCAGCAGACGCACAAACACGGGACTGGGCGGTGTTACGCCCTGCACCCAGCTCAGTCTGCCGCTGCTGCTGCTTGCCGCTACGTTTATACTCGAGATGATTTCTTTAATTATGATTTCTATTCGGATGTGTCCTACACTTTAAATTTAGTCAAGCCGTGGGTTTGTTTTTCCCGTTGCGCTCGCGCTAACGTTACAGCATTGTTCTCTTTGTTTGAAAAAGCCATGCTTTCTGCTTCCCAGAATGACATCACGCTCCGTGCGTCCTATTGGCCGCCGAGAATGAAGCGTCCGCATTTAAAGACACAGAGCGCAGTGTGGATGCTGCTGCTGGGAGGAGGCATACAGTGCAGCACTGATTTAATGTGGAGAGCTTCATGAAGACCTGCTGGCTTTACTGCCTGTTTCATAAAATGATCAGCACTACCTCAGTTTGAGCTGATGATAAAGGAATGGCTGATTATTTTTCATTTATGCTGTAGTTGTCGGTAAATTAGGTGCACTTTGTGTAGTTTGGTGGCTCTCTGACTGTGGAGCATACACCACTGTTGTGGGGTGTGGATTATGTCAGGAAAATGCTTCTCATTTTTACTGAAGTGTGTTTTTTGGCTTCTGATGCCAGAGTAAGTCTGAATTTATACTAATATAATCATGTTGTAGAAATGCTACTTTCAGCTCCTTCCTTTTTCACAAAGGGTCACCACAGCGGGCAGATATGCATATTTGATGTGGTAGACCTTTACACAGTTTACCCTTCCTGACACAACTTCAAAAGGATTTGTGTCTCCTCCTGGGACCGAACAGAGGAAATTACTTTATTTATCCTTGCGACAGACTGGCAATCTGTCCAGGTTGTACCCTGCCTCTCACCCTGTGGTAGCTGGGACAAGCTCCAGTCCCTCCACGACCCAATAAGGATAAGCGGAAAAGAATGGATAGATGGATATTTTATGGCAAATGTGTAAAGTACTACACCAAAGTGCCAGGCGTATGTTACAAAAATATTTTTGATGTCAGGCTTTGAAATTTAGGCTAAAATTTGTGCTCTGCCTAATATAGCCCATTCATATTAGTGAGAGCAACTGAATTTTTGAAACTTTACAAAGTGAAGCATTCATAATTGTCAGCAAAATCAGATCAACTAATAAAACAAACAAAAAAAAACATTGCAGTTGATTGTGTGCTTCTGAATCTTCCAGGTTGTAAGATCAAGGCCCTGCGTGCCAAAACAAACACCTACATAAAGACTCCGGTGCGAGGCGAGGACCCTGTGTTCATCGTGACGGGACGCAGGGAGGATGTGGAGATGGCCAAGCGTGAAATTGTGTCTGCAGCAGAGCACTTCTCTATGATCAGGGCGTCCCGCTGCAAAGCTGGAGGGGGTGGAGGAGGCGGCTCCCTTCCCGGACCACCAAACCTACCTGGACAGACCACTATACAGGTGCAGTAGCCCTGCTGTGGTGCTGGGGTCATGTTTTTGCTTTTTGTCTTGTTTTGCTTGAAAATCAGCTAAAATATCCTTTTATTTTATCCCTGATCCAGGTTAGAGTGCCGTACAGAGTAGTCGGTTTAGTTGTTGGACCAAAAGGGGCAACAATCAAGCGCATCCAGCAGCAGACTCACACCTACATCGTGACACCGAGTCGAGAAAAAGACCCCGTGTTCGAGGTGACTGGGATGCCAGAGAACGTGGACAGAGCGAGAGAGGAGATCGAGACTCACATCACCCTGAGAACTGGAACCTTTGTAGACCTCCAGGGAGACAATGACTTCCACACTAATGGCACTGATGTCAGTCTTGAAGGCCTTGGTTCCCTGAGTGGGGGACTGGGAGCGACTTTGTGGTCCAGGGCAGCTAGCCACCATTCTGCCCCCCCTCCTCCTCCAACATCCCCACCTTCTGCTCTTTCCATGTCCATACACCACTCGTCCGGCAGGAAGATGTCTTCATCGGTTCCCTATCACACGCACAATGGCGGGATGAGCGCAGACAGCTTCAGCACCGCCCGGAAGGCCACTGAGGGAGGCAGTCCCACTAGCCCTTTTAGCACAGGCTCCAGCAGCGCTGGGGGATTCACTTTTGGGGGCGATTCCACCCCAGGACTGCCTTCGTCAGACGAGCTGGGCTTCGAGTTCAGTGCTTCCAACATCTGGGCGCCTTTCGTCAACAGCGGATCGGGCAATAAGACGGGCAGCTCCTCTCAGCAGCAGCCTCTGCGTCGCAATAGCAGCGGCGTCAGCGCCGGCGCCATCACTCCACGATTGTCCCCGACTCTGCCTCAGGACACAGGCGTGGTCCCCCCTCTGGATCACCCACTTGCCCGTCGTGCTCAAAGCGACCCCCTCAGCACTCTCTCCTGGCTGCAGTCTGGCAACGCAGGCGGCGGCTCCTTCTCCGGAGCATCGAGCTCCAGCTCCGGCGGCTCATCGACCGGTTACTCCTCCTGCTCGGCCTCCTCCCTCCCCGGTGGGTCGCCTACCGACTCAGAGGGAGGCGGCAGCGGCGTGGGTCTCACCTCTGGGATTTTGAGCCGACTGAAAGGCAGCTCTGGCTCTGGGGTTGGGGCTCTGGTTGGAGTCAGCCCCGGGGTCAACAGGGACTGCTTCGTGTGTTTCGAGAGCGAGGTGACGGCAGCCCTGGTGCCCTGCGGCCACAACTTGTTCTGCATGGAGTGCGCTGGGCAGATCTGCCAATCAACAGAGCCAGAATGCCCCGTCTGTCACACTCCTACCACACAGTGCATCCGCATCTTCTCGTAATGTCCCGGGCAAAGGGAGGGGTGGTGGGGTAAAATGTGGGATGGGAGGGGAACGGCCCCAAGTGGGGCACCAGCTGCGGCAGAGACAATGGAAGGAGTCACAATAATAACCTTCACACACATGATGGACCATAATAAATGCATTAATAGAGATGACGATACTATAAGGATGCTGATTTATTGCTGGTAACTGTCGATAAATGACGATGATAATAATTAATAGTGACTTATTTTCAGAGTGAAGTTAATTGAAACTGGTCTGTAGACAGTTGGAGCTCAGCCAGTCTCTTGGTGTTGAACTTAACGGAAGGAAACTAGTGTCTTATCTCTCTTCAGGCCTTCTTTTTGACCCAGAGCGGCCCTTGCGGCTGCCTGCTGGTCTGTCTCAACATTTCTTCATTCTGGCTTCTTCTTCAGATCTCTGCCTGCTCTCTCTCTCTCGCTCTCTATCTGTCTCACAGCCTTTCTTTTTGACACTTTTATACTTAACAGATATTTTTCAATGAAGCTGTCGACGAGGCCTGCACTTTTCTACTCCCTAATTTTACTGTTCTCAACAGGGCACCACCCGTTTCCAACAAATCCCTTTGTCCTTTGCTCTCACTCATGCTGTTGTGGCACGAAGTGGCAAGGTTCCTCTTTTTTTTTCTGTAAGTTTGGGACTTTTCTCTCTGTTTTTATTTTAAAGATCGCTGTGTTGTCAGGCACCTAGAAGAACAATAAACCCAAGGGACCTCTTAAGGATCAATTCCAGTTTCTCTTTGCCACAAAAGAATAGCCATCAGTAAGTAAGCCAAATGAATGTTATTAATAGACATCTCTTGAGTGAATTCATGTTGGATGAGTCTGCCCCACATTTCAAATGTGGCTGTCGCATTGATTCACATTAATTTTCCTTTAATAGGTGAGAAACGTACCATACGTGAAGTAATGTGTTTGAGGTCAGGTCTCTGTTTGGGCAGCCTGACAATCCCTTTACACCCCTCTGTCTCTGCGATATGCGAGTATGAGTGTGTGTGCGAGAGAACAACGCCCACTCATGCTGTTCGTCGCACCGCCGAGAGTAGGTCTGCTCCCTGTCCCGTTCTTCTTTGCTGCACACTCGGTCTTGAAGGAAAGCGACGCTCTGATCCATCCACACTACTGTAGTTGTCCTCCCACGTCTGTTACGCCCAGAGCCGCCTGTTTCTGGTGTTTTCTACTAGTTTTTGACTCTTGACTGTCAAGTGTGTGGCTGACAGACAATATTTTGAACACTAGGATAAGATGGGGCTTTTCTGATGTCACACAAGAATGTGTTGTCCAGTTAAGGTTAAGGAGAGAGGCCTCCTGCTGCTCCTCCTACACTAAACAATTACAAGGGGCCTCCATTGAACCTTTTCTTCATGCACTGTAAGGCCCGGCCCCTCTAAACTAAAAGCGAAAAAGAAACAGCTCTTACTGTTTTTGTTAGGTCTTCCACCTGTCTCTCACAGCGAAGCTGTACGGCACTCTCTGACGTCACTGTTGTCCCCATACAGCGCTGTACTCCTGGCAAAATGTAGTGCACTATGTGGCTGGTTGATTGGGGTCTGTCATGTGTTTCATAGCATTACTGAGTAACTCCAGTGAGGCGGGTACATCCTGTTTTTAAGTTGGGTTTTTTTTTTTCTGTTAGTGTTTTGATTTCATTGAGTTTGCAGTAACTGCCTCCTGTAGTCTTTATACTATGTGTATGATTTTTTTATTTTTTTTTCCAACGTCTGTGTGACGTTACACGGTTGCAGGTTTTTTGTTTTGTTTTTCCCTCTCTCTTCTCCCTGACACGTGTGGATTCAGCTCGTAGAACGAGACAAAGCCATGACAGCTGAATTTTAAAGAAAAGAAGAAAAAGAAAAAGACGTACCTAATTTACAAGGGCTTCCTCTGAACGCACAGACACACGATCACATTTTCAGGCTCACACGGTAGGAAGAATCAACTTATCCTTTATGGCAGCTAGTAGCTAGGTCATCCAGGGCTTCCAGACACTCGTCGTGTTCAAATCCCAGCAGCTGCAGAATGTTGTGCTTCTTTTTAGTTATTCTGTTTGTTGCTTTTTTCTTTCTTTCTTTCTTTTTTTGGGAGGGGGGGGTCTTTTGTGTGTCGGGGTGTGTGTGTGTAATTGCCCTACACAGTCATCACATGCAGATCCTGTTGGTGTGTATGGCGCTGCATCAGGGTGTCTCACAGATCAGGACGAGTTGCAGGGTTTAAATGTCAAGGAATTAAAGGTAACTCTTGAGTAAATATGTGGGCTGATTTTGCTGTGCTTTGGTGCTGTAGCCTGGATGATGATGATGATGATGATGTTTAACTTATTTTTGTCTGTTTCCTACGCGCGTGACGAGGCTGTCCTGGTTGAGCAGCAGCAGCGCACCAATTGGTGCGCAGATGAGCTCATGGTGCTTCTAGTGCAACTCCCTGCACAAATGCAGGAGAAATAAGTGGGTAAAGGGAGGCCGTTTTGTTCTCAGATCAACTTCTCCAATGCACTGTAGACCCAATGACCCTGTTCTCATTCTCGCCCTCACCCCTCCCCCTCTAAATGCCCACCCGGCCCCGTGGGGCTGGAGCGTGTTCCTCAGAGCAAACACGGGGCTGCGAGCGCGTCTATATGAGCCATTCTGTGATGACTGATGCGAGTCTGAGGCCCAACTTAAAGCTCTTACTTTCAACTGTCTGAGGTGACGCGTTAAACAATAAAATGTGTTGTGATTTCCAGATGGGTTCAGCGTAGATCCTGCTGTTGCACCAGGATGTTTGTGGCCGTCGAGAGAATGTTAGGGTTGATGTACAGTAGTTTAATTGTTAAAAGGTACTTTTTTTTTTCTTTTTTTTTTTTTCTTAACAAGACGTCTCCCCCTTCCCCCACTTCCTTCCTAAAGGTTTGAAAACAGGGTTTCCTGAGGCATGCTAGCCAGTGACCTCTGACCTTTTTTGTGATTAGAGGTGGGGGGAATGCAAAGAGAGCCACGCCAGTACGGGGTGCCAGACTCCCCTCGAACCTCTGCTCTCCTCTATTTTTGCTTTAATTCTTTTTGTATGCAGAACCAAAATGTAAAACGTCAGCAAACTAGGTTTCAGGCCTAACCTGTGTGTATGTATATACCCTGGATACAATCATCGGGATCTTGTTTTTCAAAGCAAAACAACTTAATTGAAGATGAACGTAGTTTCTAAAAAAACATGTGTTATTATTTGTAAGTTAACCATCTGCATGTCTTCGAGCCTTCTGGCATTAGCTAATAATTTTTAAGATACAAAAAAAACAAAAATACAAAAAAACAAAAAACTTTTTACACATTTTATTTTTTACAATTTATTTGCTTACCTAAATATCCCAGACAATAATGTGACCCTTTTATTACTTCAAATTTATTTGTTTTCCATTTTGTTTTCTTTTTTTTTTTCATTTTCCTTATTTCCTGTGTACTACATATAGGCGATTTATAACAAAATGAGAAAATTATTGAAGAAATTTTAAAATTGAAATATATTTTATTTGAAAGTTTATGGACCTTTTAACCGTGAGCCGGGAAAAATTGTATAATCGTATAATTTGAGCTGACTTGACGGTTATGAGAAATGTATCAAGAGTTTTATTTTTTATGCTTCTTTAATAAAGTCTTGTTTTGTTTTTGTTTTATTTTTGTTTCATTTTTTTACTGGAAAATAAGAACTTGTCTGTGTGCTGTGTCTTTATTGTCAGTGGAAATGTGCACAAGATTGCAGCAGCCGCATCTTCCGACCACATGGTGGCAGTAGAGATGCACCTGCAGAGGAGTAAACCATAATGACGTGAAAAGTGTAGCTCGGGAGTGTTTGCTTGTAAATGTGACAACAAGACGAAGTTATTCATTTAGGAACAGGTTTTTCCAGCATGTACTGTGAACTTGAAGATTGTGTGTCAACAGTATGAATCCAAACTGCTCAACTTTAAATACAGTCCCACTGTTTTCACTCAAACGTCACTCTTAAGTTGCAGCATTTAATGTACTTTAGGCTCAGTCTGAGCGTTAAGAGATATCAAGGACTTATACAGCTGTTGGGAGGAGTGAGTAGGATAAGAGGAGGCAGTTTGCTTTTTTTTGCTGCTTCAGTTTTATGTCAAAATGTACAACTCTGAGAAAAACGTGATTCGATGGAAGCTAGACGTCTCAAGAAGAAGTTGGGAACTAAAAAGCGACAGCTGAAGAAACATTTAATGAACATTTAATTACAGCAGGGCGGTAAAATGGCTGAGTATAAAAACGGCGGCAGAGTTTTAAAAATGTGGAATAATTTTAAAGTAATGTTCTTGAAAGTAGAATTGTGAATACTTCTGTCATCATCTGCAGTACAAAAGATTCAGAGAATCTCTGTGCGCTCGCCTGAAAATTGATACTGGATGTCCGTGATCTTCCGGTCCTGACGCGTCACTGCATTAAAAACAGGCGTGATTCCGTCATGGACGTCAATGCACCTTGGGGGGCGAGGGGGTGGGTACAGGAACACTTCCATCCACCAGAAACGCTGCTGTTTTCTCTGAGCCAAAAATAACCAGAGAAAAAGTGAGAAACTGCTCTGTGGTCAGATCATTCAAAGTTCCTGCAGGATAAAGAGGAGAGAGACCATCCACTTGGTTTACAAGTCTGCATCTATGATGGTAATAAGGTGCATCGGTGCCTGTGGAGTTGCACATTTGGAAAGGCTGAACGGTGTATATATAAGTAATAGAAGAGCATATGCTTCGTCCAGATGATGTCTTTCCGGCTCTTGAATCTTTCACTGAGACGATGCTAACATGCGTGCTTCACAGCAGAAGCGTTCACATGATGAACTGACCCGCACCAGCCCAGACTGTTCACCAACATTTGGCACATGAAATGAAAAATAAGACAAAGAAGACTCGGGACTTGTTTTTTAATGCTCCTCTCACCCGAATTCCATCAAAACCATTTTTACTTCTGTCAGTCACAACTGAAGAGTGATGATCACTCACTTTCCTGAATACTGTCCAGCACTGCATCAGTGTTTTCAATCAAATTACCTTTTTCAAATATGTATGAAGGAGCAAATAGAAAAATACACTGTCAGAGATTTACTTGCAAAAAACAGAAGTACATACTTTCCGTCTTGTGTCACAACTGCTCATCCAAGGATG